AACCAGTTAGGCTTCTTCCAGTCAACATCCCTTTATGTTCTGCAGCAAAGCAAGTCCCTCCCCAACTTCTCTCTTCCTAACTTCCCCACTCCCTCCCAAGTCTCCCTTTCAGTCTGATATGTGAAATGAGGATGATAAAATGAAGTGTTGGGTGTGGATGTGCTTCGTAAAATTACATACACAGCTGTTGGGATTGCTCATTAGCGAAGTGCCAGGGCGGTTAAGGAGGGCTGACCAGAAGTGTCTACTGCCACTGAGGGGTCATAGGATGATTACTTATGCTTTCACTTTGGTCTATATCTAGGAATCTAGTCTCTTAACAGTGAGTTCCAAGTATGTGTATTAAAAATGGCAGCCTGGGGGCGCCTGGTGGCTCAGTTGATTAAGCCGCTGACTTTGGCTTAGGTCACGATCTCATGGTTTCAGAGTTTGAGCCCCGCTGTGCTGACAGCTCAGGGCCTGGAGCCTGCTTCGGATTCTGTGTCTCCCTCTCTCTCTGCCCCTGTCCTGCTCACACTCTGTCTTTCTCTCTCTCTCTCAAAAATAAACATAGAAAAAAATGGCAGCCTGTTGGAAGTCTCAAAGCTTTGCTATCATCTACAGTTTAAGGATGGGTTTAATGGAAGACCTTGTATTTGGTGTCACACACAGGAGCCAGCATAAAAACTTGGCTTTTGGGTGTTCGTGAGGCTTTTAAACACAAATCACCTGTCAAAGGCAATATTTTGGTCCTTATTAAAATGATTTCAATTAGGTTCTTAAACGTAATAGACTCTGTATCTTATCACCCATCTTAGAATCTAGCCAAGACCCTCATTTTGTGTTTGTTTATAGAACTGCTGGCTTAAAGAAAAAAAGACTTAAATGCTTTGGGCTGATTTTTAGATCTCTGTGTTTCTTGTGCACACCCCCCCCCCCCCCCCCCCGCCGCCAATACAGCCAGAATGTAATAAAACTTGGGTTTAAGTGAAACAACCTATAAAGTACAAAAGTAAAGTTGCTCTCTATTCATTTCCCAAATACTTGGGTCATGCTCCTATGTGTGTGAGGCACTAAGTGACACAAGCTGTGGGCACTTTTTCTCATGGAGTTGACTCTTCAATAGGGGAAGTAAGACCCAGACCACAAATTACAGTAAGTGTTGGCTCTGCCTCATAAGGGTCACAACATGCTAAGAGGGCCCAGACCACATTCAAAGGGATAGGTTAGCAAGACTGCCTGGAAATAAACTTGAAAGCTAAGCATGGACCATGTGGCCTTCCATGAGCTGGGTCTTGCCTGTTTTTTTGTTTTTTTGTTTTTGTTTTCTCCCGTCTTCCAGTAGCGTGAATGCTGCCTCCTTACCCCCATACAGAGGTGCTTAGTCATGCAGACCTTGACACTAATCCCTGAACGGTCTCTTCAGTATACTTACTGACAGTTGAGTGACAGGGTGTGCAGGACTCTGGCCTGGCTGCCAAGGGGGACATGGCTGGGTCCTGAGGACATACGTCGGAGACAGACATTCACAGTTGTCTTTTAGTGAACTAAGTCTGAACTCCCATCTCCTCGTGTACATCAGTGGTATTGCTCCTTCCCCATGCTGGTTAACAAAGAATACAAGAATTGCACTCTTAGAGAAATTGTTCTAGCATTTTGCCATTGCTGAAATAGTTGTACTCTATTTTACAAAAATACGTTGCTGACAGATTGGAGGGAAGCAACTCATCCTTCGCCTCAGATAGTTTGGGACACTGGTGTATAGATCACCATAACTTGGATATTTTTGATAAGAACATTTTTGCATACACATTCCCCTCCTTCCATCTGTCATATAAACAAATGATCGTACAGTTTTTTTTGTTTTGTTTTGTTTTTTTAAATCTCATCTTCATTTGATTGTGAAAGTAGTATGTCTTCATTGTGACAACTTGGGAAAGTACAAAGAAATTTTTTGGTGTTTTTGACACAAGCTTACTGGTGGCTCACATTGTGCTGTTTCTCTTATCCTTTTTTCCTTTTATCTTTGTCAACACGCTCCCATCCTGACAGCTCATATGTGTACACTTGTTCGTACATAAATGGGACACTGGATACCTATTCTTTATTTTACATTTAAAATGCGCATGTCATTAAATATTCTTTTAGAGAGGACTGCTTGGTCATCTGTCATCTAGTTATACCATGATTAACCTTTTCGTATAGTCTCCTATAACTAGAACTTATTTTATGCCTTTGTTTATTGGTTATTAGGTAACGCTTTGAAAATTGTTGTGACCACATTTTTGATAGTATCTCGGAATATTCCATTGGGATATATTTCTAGGAGTAGAAATACTTCAAGTCAAAAGTATGAGTGAAAGGCGTCGGTGAACTGCCCTTCAGGAACGTTGAAACAAATTTCAGTTTTCACCAGCCGTGGATGGGCTCGCCATACTAAGTACTGTCAGTGTGGGCGCTGGCAGGATGGGAGCGTGTTGACAAAGATAAAGGCAGAAGGAATGAGCAGACCACTGGGATGGAAGAAGAGAGGAGCGTGGGATGTGAATGGGGCGTGGAAAATGGTCTGTTGGCTAAAGTGAAAGATGCTTTCAAGGAAATAGGAAAGACAGAGAAGTTGAGTCGGGTCTGATTTGACGGAGCACTGAAAGCCAGTTTAGGTTGGTATCGGAGAGACTTCAGTGGGTTTTGATCAGGAAGATGAGAGCCCCAGGGTTTTGCTGTGGGAAGGCTGTGTTATATGACACAAGCTGTGCCACACCAGTGCTCATTCCCTACGTGCTCCCTGCCCCTTCCCACGCCACGCCTTTGGTTGCGCTGTTCCTTCTGCCAAAATGCCCTGCTTTCCATAATCTATCAAAGCTCCACTCGTCCATCAGGGACCATACCCTCATTCTCCCCTATGTACTTCCTGCTCGATTACGTAGCACCCACTGGTATAATATACCATATTGCCTTTTTATAACTGTTTGGTGTGCTACTCTCTCCCACCAGATTATAATCTCCTAGTGACCCATTTCCTTTATGTATCCTTCAGTGCTTATACTGCCTGGTATATAAGAGGTATTAACACACATCTGCCAAAGGACTCCCAGGCACTGCACATGTCTCCTATGACATTGAACAAGTACACTTTAGGCCAAGAGATATATGCTTCGACAGTTTGGGATATTGGATGTCTCGGCCAAGTTGTTATTCCAGAGCCAGTTGGAGTATCACATAGGGCTACATGAGGGACAACCTGCTCTTAACATTTACCTTCCCTTCCCTCCCCTCTAAAGACTTCCAGTCACTGGCTTTTGGAGACCACCATCCCTTAAGTGAGCGAGATCTTGACTCCAGAAGTGTTTGTAAATCATAGTTATTTATGAAAACTTCTACTGGAGCTTGTAATGTTGTATGAGATTGGTTTTTTAAAAGCCAGTATGGCATCGTGTTGTACGTATCATTCTTTGATTTGCTTTTCTCAATTGACAGTGTAACTTTGGAATTTTCCCAAGGCAATACATATAATTACAAAAAACTATATAATAATTAAAAATGTGTTTTTTAAAAATTTCTTTTAATGTTTATTTATTTTGAGAGAGAAAGAGAGCACGAGCAGGGGAGGGGCAGAGAGAGAGGGAGATGCAGAATCCAAAGCAGGCTCCAGTCTGTGAGCTGTCAACATGGAGCCTAACATGGGGCTCGAACTCAGGAATCGCAACGTGAGGTTATGACCTGAGCCACAGTTGGACACTTAACTGACTGAGCCACTCAGGTGCCCCTAAAAATGTATTTTTATGGTAAAAATTCAAATTCAAGGGGCACCTGGGTGGCTCAGTCGATTAAGTGTCTGACTTCGGCTCAGGTCATGATCTCACAGTTCATGGGTTCAAGCCCCGTGTCAGGCTCTGTGCTGACAGTTCAGAGCCTGAAGCTTGCTTTGGATTCTGTGTCTCCCTCTCTCTCTGCCCCTCCCCTGCTTGCACTGTCTCAAAAATAAATAAACATTAAAAAAAATTCAAATTCAAAAGGGTACCAAATGAAAAAGGATAGTTTTCCAATCCCCTGTTTTTATTTTAGAGGTTAGTGCTATTTGCCCATTCTTACATATATTCATAAAAACATATATGCATTCTTTAAAACATGTAATCCTGTAATACGTACAGTATATCATAAAGTATCTTGAACATGTTTTCATATCTACATATACAGATGCCGTGTTGTTTTTAAATGAGTGCATAGTATTCTGTTATGTGAATATACTATGACTATCTCTGTATTGGTGAACTCCTTTGATCTTTTCTGTTTGGAAAGCTCATGTGAAATCACTCTTCGTTTGTTATGAATTTAAATTATTCAACATGATAAACATGAACTGAGTGCCTCCTTCCTTCCTGGCACCGTGCAGGGCACTAGGGCCAACAAGGTGTTTGATGGTCAGTCCCTTCCCCTGACTTGAAGTTATTGGCTGTCTAACAGGACAATACTCTCTTAACGAACTTAGAATATGATATGAGCTGGAATGGGTAGATATGCCTTAGCATACATATTAATTCTCCTTTGGGAAGGTGAAAAAGAGGACGTTGGTATCAAACTTTAAAGGATAAGAGATCCTGGATTCCTAAGGGGTGAGGAAGAGAAGGTCATTCTTTCAGGGGATGTTAAAGAACAAGATGGGTTGGCAAGAAAGAGCATGTGATAGGCAAAGAATGGCCAGTAGCCCAGTGCGACTGGGGCATGTGCCGTGGTGTGGAGGGGGAGAATTGTACTGTTGGCTCAGCAGTTGGTCACAGGAAACATTCCACAAGTGAATAGAAGGATGTGCTCTTTGTCTAACTGAACTCCAAACCATCTTGGGGTTGTCCTCTTTATGCCCTGCAGGCTATCAACTGCCTCCAGGGCAGAGGGTCTCTCTTGAATTGGTCTGGCTTAAAAAAAAAAAAAAAAAATCTTTTATCCATTTTTGCACCTTTAACCATGTCATGTCTTGTTTTTGCAGAGTTTAGTCACTTCAAGAAATAGAACAGAAATCCGCCATGGCCCCAAGGAAGAGAGGTGGACGGGGGATTTCATTCATCTTTTGCTGTTTCCGAAATAATGATCACCCGGAAATCACCTATCGGCTGCGAAACGATAGCAACTTTGCGCTTCAGACCATGGAGCCAGCCTTACCCATGCCCCCTGTGGAGGAGCTGGATGTCATGTTCACTGAACTTGTGGTGAGTCTCCAACTTGCTTCCTGCCGGTGGTGGGGAGCCAGGAGGAAGAGGAGAGGGTGTGCCTGGTTTCGTTTGGTTAGCCATGGGCTCTCCCTTCTTCAGTGCAATGACCCCTTTGTATTGGCACCCCAGCTGTGGGCACTGAGCCTCTGGAGGAAGAGAAAGAAGAAGGTAGCTTTACTACATCAGAGGGCTTTGCTTTAAGTGAAGGGATTTAGGCCCTTAGATCTTCGAATATGTGGCCGAATCACATCCCAAGTTGCTTCTCCTGTTCCCCTCCATCCCAGCGTGAGTCTATACCTGTGTCCTCTGCCTCACAGCCCCCCAATTCTCTAATGCTTTCTCCACCCCTACTCTCAGTGTGCTGTATGAATGTCTTCTTAACAGTTAGTCCTACTCCTCTTCCTGTCCCAGATCTTTTGATGAAAGCCATTATTACTTAAGGCAGTTAATTATTTAGCCTAATGATCAGACTGTAGTAATAAGTGTTGTGGGAAGCTTTTCATGGATCCTGTCATATTTTAGAATCCGCTGTACTGAAGTGAGAGAGATATCTGGTGTAGGACCTCTTCTCAAAAGATGTAAGTGATCTCTTCAGCTTAACCTTTTAGGTACCTCTGAAGTAGTGTTTCTTTCCATTCCATGTTACAGAGGTATATTATGGCATAGTTCAAAGAGTCCTGGCATGTGGATTAGGAAGACGTTGGTTCAAGTTACTATTCTGACTTTATTATCTAAGTATGGAAGAAGCATATGCGCCTGTTTTCTGGAAAGTGAGAAAAAAAATAAGTCCTCCTTCTAGTGTGATGTAGTGTCGAAGTGAGAGTAACACATAGTGGGAATGGCCCAGTGCCTGGCCCTCGTTGGGTGCTCAATAAATGTTACATGAGTACTCTATCCTCCCTCGATCATTGCCAGCATTTTGTAATGGAGTTAGTTCTAATCGGACGAATCAGACCATTTGTATCATTCAACAGATACTCGAGAGTGCTATCATTTTGCATGACTCTTAGGTCAGAAAGTAATGTAGGCTGTGTTACTGCCCTCCAGGGGTAATATCTGAAGCGATCAGTCCACTCCAGCTCTTCCAGAACAGAATTTACCTATAGACTTACCCTATAAGATAAGGCAATATGAGAGTATTACCAAGCCTGTTACCAACCAGAATTGGTTGGGAAAAAGAAGAGATGGCTGTTGGCAGCATGTTTGTATTTTACGATGTTGATGAATATTTTTGGTGTTTATGGAATCTCTCCCCTCTCCCACCTCTGCATGCAGAGATTATGTTCTAGGTGTTAATGGGGAGGTTCGAAGTGGGAAACTGGAACCTTCTCTGAAACAGCTGACAGTTTCAGTAGCAAAAGGGGATTGATAAAAAAGTACAATGCCACTAGAGGAAGAAGCGCAACCCACCCCTGCATGGTGTGTAGATGTGTTGTGAGGTATAGGACAGTGATGAGGAGGGTGGTCAAGGAAGACGTTCTGGAGGATGTGAGCTGTGAGTGATTGAAGGTAAGAAGGGAAGTGGCGGGGATCGGTGTCAATGGCTGTCTCAGTCATCTCAGCTAGTTCATCCTGTGACGGTTACAAACTACAACCGCTTATCCCTTGCTAATGCTGCATGTCCATTGTGGGCCAGGTGTGGTTTTGTTCCTCACCATCTTTCATACAAGACCCAGGCCTGGTGGAAGAGTAAGGAGGGACATGGCAAACTGCTAGTAGGCTCTAAGCTTATGCTTGGAAATGGCATGTGGCACTTCTGCCCACATTTCTTTGGCAGGTGAAAATCACGTGGCCACTCCTGAGATCACAGGGGAGGGATGAATCATCCTTCTGTAGAGACTGGCACCACAAGTCGCATGGACAATCCTGAGGTCACTGGGGCAGTGGAGGACATATAGTCCTCTTCCAGGGAGAGGCAGTGAATCATCTACCACGATGGCTATCAGGAAGGGCAATAATGTATTCATGGGCTTGGTTTTATTTCCCACGTAAAGTATTTTATGACCCAGTATGTGATCTATCTTGGGGAATGTTCCACGTGCACTCGAGAAGAATGTGTATTCTGCTGCTTTTGGATGAGAAGTTCTGAATGTATCTGTCAAGTCCATCTGGTCCAGTGTATCCCATTTAAAGTATTTGAAAACACAAAGCCCACCTAAGGAGATAGATGAGGGCCCACTTGGTGGTAGTTGGAGCTGGTGGGCAGAGTTAGTACCCTCACAGCCTCTACATCCACTGTCTTTTCAATTGTGCTCTATCAGATTCCCCAGATGAGACCTAAGCCAGAGCCTGTGTGGTGGCAGCTCCATGTACATCTTGAAGGCAGCTCATTGTTCTGTATTCATAAGGGAGAAAATTCCACTCCTCTGCCTTATTGATGTCTTTATTCTGTGTGGAAACTGCCTACAGCTGTTAGTTGTTAAAAAGCCAATGCCAAACCAGAACTTTAAGCCGAAACCATTGGAAAACAAATTATATTGAGGTTTGTATCTGTCCCGGTGAGTGACGGATGGATTTCTGTCCACTCCTTACTTCAGGGACTTAGACCACAAACCCATCCAATGGCCAGGGGTGTGCTGGGGCAAGAGAGGTGGGCTCAGAGCCATGGGAAACCTCTGTGGGTTCTCTTGAGTGTTCGCAGAAGCGCTTCTGCCTCTGCCCGTGCACAGGATAGGGAGGCCAGGTGGGGAATGGGAGCGTGCTTGGCCTGTGGAGTCAGACTGCTCTGCAACCCGGGGTGACTGCCTTTAAGACGGTTTCTATTGGAATTTAAGTTTATTGCCTTGCCTATACAATGGGGACAATACCGTCTCTGTGATAGGATTGGTATAAAGAAGATAACTTCTTTAAAAAGGGGGCCACCTCTTAGGTGCTTTATAACCCACATCCTATTGCAATGAGAAGGATGGGAGATAAGTATTTCCTGGGCACAACACCCTAAGCACATATCCCAGGTTTTTCCTTTTCTTGAAAGCTAACCTGCCTGCTGTGAGTGAGCCAGTGTGGGTCCTAACTTGCAGGGCATTTTACCTCTGTATCTGTTGGAAAGCATCTCATCACAGCCGGTTGGTGTCAGCTAGTTTCCTTGGCCTCTTCTGATGACACACTCATTTAATGTTTTTAAATGAGCGGTACCAAATAGGTTGCCTTCAGAATTGCTTGCTGCAACCTTATCATCTCATAAATAAAGCAAGCCTGAGCGGGAGGTCAGCCACGGGAATCTGTAAGGAGGGTGGGCCGTGAGGAGTGCCGGCCATAGGCAGTGGAACCAGACTCGTTCCAATTTCAGGATGTAGTGGTTCCTGGGGGTCCCAGTCCAAAACCCTGCCTATTTTTTTTTCCCTAACAGCTTTATTGAGATATAACTCACAGACTATAATCCACCTATTTACAGTGTACAGCTCAATGGCTTTTAGTTGTGCAAGCATCACCACAATAAATTTTAGCATGTTTTCATGACCTCCAAAAGTAACTCCCTTACCCATTAACTGTCACTTCGCATTTCTCCCCAGCTCACCATCCCCTGGCTACCTCTAATCTACTCCTGTTTCTGTGAATTTGTCTATTCTGGGTATTTCATAAAAATGGAATCGTGTAATATGTGGTCCTTTGTGACTGGCTTCTTTCACTTACCGTAATCTTTTCAGTGTATCCATGTTGCAGCATGTATTGATACTTCTTTTCCTTCTATGGTTGAATAATACTCCACTGTATGGACATACCACATTTTGTTTCTCCATTCATCATCGACAGACATTTGGATTGTTGCCAGTCTTCAGCTATTATGAATAATGCCACTGTAAACTTTATTCATACCCAAGTTTTTGCGTGGAAATATATTTTCAGTTCGCACGGGTGCAGACCTAGGAGTGGAATTTCTGGGCCATATGCTAACACAATGCTTAAATTTTTAGGAATTGCCAGAGTGTTTTCCAAAGTGTCTGCACCACCTTACATTCCCACCTGCAGTGTATGAGGGTTCCAGTTTGACCCTATCTCTGCCGACACTTGTTATTACTTCCTACCGATTGACCTGCTGCTTCTAAAGCTGTTCGATGGCTCCTGGAGAACTGAGAACATGTAACTTGGGAATTTTTTAACTATCTAATTAATTTATTTTTGTGAGTTGTCACACAGAAATAGTCTCTATGCTAACAATTTTAACTGATTTGGTTAAAATTGAGTTGAGAGTTTGTGTAATCTCTGCCAACTCTGTATTTTATGCCTTTCGAGCATCAATCCTTTTTTTCCTGTATTACCTCCCCCACCTCCTTTCCCCACTTTTTCTGCTTTGTCCTTTGCTTCAGCCACACATCGTGAGCATAACCAACCCAAGAGTCAACACTGTTCCCATAACATAAGATTCAGCTATAGTCTTGCCTTTTCTACAGGCTTCTAAAGGTCTTAGATTGTTTTTGCTGACCTATTTGAAGACCCCTAGGCATCATGAATCTGTAAGTTGTCCTTATTCAAATAACTTTTTCATCTCGATGTTAGCAAATAGATTTCCTTTGGGATGAATAGAAGGATGTGTCACTAATTGACCGGTCAGTTCTTTCAGGGTGTGTGTGTGTGATGAGTGGCTGCTGTGTGTCCTGAGATAACTGGTGAGCAAAGCAGCCATGGTTGTTAATGAATTTATGGGACCAAAGGTGTAGCGGGGAAATAGGCAAATACACACACAATCTTATCCAGTGTGCCCCAGGATTATGAGGGGCTCTTCCAGCAGTATATATTGTTGGGGAAGAATGTTCATTTGCCTTTTTTCACAAGAAGGGAGTTGCACTCACAGGTTCCATATCTATAAACCTAGCTCTCTTGCCCAGTAATTCCTAGCTTCTCTTCCAAGTCCTCATGGGAATATGCATCCCTCAGTCCCTTTCTCTGTCGATTTCTCTGCCAATCAACCAGCTTTCAGGAAACACGTTTTGTGGCCCGTGGTACTATAAATTTCCTAGCAGTGAGCTCCCCTTGGGGAGTTCTACAGTTGTCCAGCT